TCATCTGTAAATCCCTTGCTTTCTATTTTATCTGATATTCATGTACTGATTGCACGGATTATGAATGGGTTAATCAGTGCTTTAAAGGAGTTTATAGTCTAGTGGGGTAAACTAATTACAATACAGTGCATGAGTGTGCAAACCAACATGTTTTTACCAAATGTTTGAGGTACAGAAGAGAGAACAATTGATTTCTTTGGTGAGAGAGAGAGATGGGAAGAGAGCACTGAGGAGGTGTGTATAACAGGGAGGAAGGGTCATGACACAGAAGGCAGCAGCATGAGCCGAGGCCAGGTGTGGAGGTGTCTGGTGTCGAGGAGGAGTGGCCCTGCAGGGGGCAGGCTGCTTGGGAGGAGTGCGGAGAGGTGCAGTTGGAGGAGGAGCCGGAGCCAGTGTGAAGGGTGCCACAGGCCCCTGTTCTTTCAGTCTTTTTTTTTTTTTTTAATATATTTTATTGATTTTTGTACAGAGAGGAAGGGAGAGAGATAGAGAGCTAGAAACATCAATGAGAGAGAGTCATCAATCAGCTGCCTCTTGCACACCCCCTACTGGGGATATGCCCGCAACCAAGGTACATGCCCTTGACCGGAATCGAACCCGGAGCCCCTCAGTCCCCAAGCCGACGCTCTATCCATTGAGCCAAACCAGTCCCGGCTCTTTCAGTCTTTTCACATGTTACCGCCTTGATTGTCACAGCAGCTCTGTGAAAGGAAGGAGAACGGGCCAGTTCTCCTTTTGCACTTCCGCTCTTACCTCTTTTCATAATTTCTACTCTAATTACATGTGGAAAAGTGTTTGATTATCATTATTCCGATTTTATTGCCAAGGGAATTAATGCTCAGGGATTTATCTAGGTCAGCGATTTTCAATCTTTTTATCTTGTGGCACACCAAAATTTCTAAAATTACTGAAATTCTGTGGGACACCAAAAATATATATATTTTTGTCAACCTAACAAAAAATACGTATAATTTTGATTCATTCACACTGGATGGTTATTGTGTTGGCTGTTGTCATTTTTTATTTGACAATCTAAGGGAAAAGAAGTCAGTTCCCCTGACTACATAGTCAGGTTTTACATGTTTTAAAAATTCCTGTGGCACACCCGTTGAAAATTGCTGAACTAGATCCATATGGCTAAGAAAAAACTGATTTCACACTAGACCCCAAGTCTTCTCAAATATAGTAGGCTTCTTTTACATTAATTCAACACCATCTTCTTTTCTCCTTTTTCTATTCCAGTTATTTTTAATTCTGAAAATTAGAAGGTTGGTGATAAATTGCATAATTGAATTACTGAATGAGAGGATGTAATTTGAGCAAATTTGCTATCTTTGTGTTTTCTCTCATGGGTGGTTTCCATAGACAATAAGCATTAGTGAAGAAACTAGAAGAATGGTTAGCCCAGTGATCTTCTGATTTGCAGGTTTGAGAAAGTTAGAACTTGGTAACTGTTTACTTTGTTCTATTTCATTTTGGCTCTTTATAATGAAAACTTTCTAACATATCTAAAAATAGAAAATTACATTGAACCATAAGTACTCATTATTCACTTCAACATTTATTAACTCATAGCCATCTAATTTCATATATAACCCTCTCCCCATTCATATATCTGCCCTCAGATATTTCTGAGACAATTTCATTTAACTGGAACTGTTAATAAAGTTATGCTCCAGTTTAATTTGTGCTTTTATCTCTGTTGTGTTCTAGGCATTAGGTCCAGTTCTTAGTATTTGACCAACTCTTTTCCCTCCTGACCATGGTGTTTATTGAAAACAAAACCCTAGTATACTGCTTCTTTAATAATATGTGTCCCAGCAGACTCCCAGAGATCACCAGCTGTGTATAACATGGTCTTCTTACTATTTGCCATTTATTGTCAGTGGGTCTAGGGCTGACCTCCAATGTGTAGCTAGAAAAACATGCTCTCATGTTTGTGCTCTGACCATGAGCTGACTTAAGGATTGATCTTGCAACATGGGTTTATTTGCTGATTCGCAAAGCTATTCAGATTAACTCCTAGAAACATTAATTGGCAAGTTCAAGAGCTAGAAGTGAATAGAGAAACCAGCTATACAGGATGAGGCAAAAGTAGGTTTACGGTTGTGAGTACACAAAACACAGGATTTATTCTTTTAGTATTACTTATTAATTATTGTATTATTTTCCATACAAATAACTGTAAACCTTTTGCCATACCCTGTAGATTGAACTTTAGACAGCAGACAGAATGGCATTGGCTGTTGCTATTTGCAACATTAGTTTGCAACATAAATAGGCATGGGAAGCAAGGAGCTAATGATTAACGAAAAAGTTTTTAAGAGAACATTTTGTTCCTATAATTTATCTTTTTTCTGGACATTTATGTAGCATCTCTTTGGACTTAGCACATGGCCACTTCTGTGATTATAAAAGCACAGTGCATGTGCTTGGACCTGTGTGTATGACTGCGTGTTGGACATGGTCTTGCTGACTACCAGACTCTGTACTTCTACTTTTGTTGAATGATGCTGATTTTTTAAAATTAAAAATGTTTATAAAGTTTGCAAAGATGTAAGCATAAAAGTATAATGTCAGCACTCTCTCATTCTGTAGAGCAGTATTTCTGGGAGTCTTCTATTTAGCTTGCTGGGAAAGGGCAGTGCTATTAATAGTGATTTCTCAGATAAGTTTGTTATAGTGTTTCAATGCTTTTTTCTTCCCCCTGGAGATAAAAATGAGACTAAACTTACAGTATTCCCTTCTGGCTCAGTCTCAGCTCTTCAAATGTCCCAGTTGAGAAAATATTTATACTGCTTGTCTGAAAATACGGTAAAATAGAGTTTAAAGTAATGGAACGAGTCCCCTGTGTGTATGTTCACATGTATGCAATGCATGTGCATAGGGATTGAATATTTAAGGGAAATGGTTAAACCAGCTTTTCCTGTCCAGTACTTCTTAAATTATAGGGCTAATTTTTTTTCAAGATTTTGAGAAGAATTAGTATCACGGTGTGAATAGAGTCCACAAGCTCCACAGCATTTCTCTTCTAGAGAAATGTACTTCCCAGTTTGGTTAGTTTACTGATTCTCTTTGAAGGCTCCGTGGACCTGGTGACCTGGTTCTGTTAAGCATGCTGTTCCAGCAAAGCTATTGTTCAAATGAACCCCGGGACACATGCTGTGGTAGGGGACAGGGACGTGGACAAGATCCTGTAAGCCTCAGGAATTTAAAATATTTTTGGAGTAAGGAAAATATACATAATAAAAAGAAAAGTGGCCTTTGAAGAACAGGTAAGATTTAGATGGTGGTGAGAACCTCAGTTTGTGTATCTATAAAATGAGAACATTGGACCAAATGATTTGGAGGTCCCATTAGCACTCATGATTTATAATTCTGTGATTCTCCAAGTTTAGAAACATCCAAAGAGAGAATAGCAGGCTTCATAAGCTTAGTAAAAAGTAATGTGAATGTTTCTGGGGGAGCAAAAAATCCCCTTCTTTTTCTTTATATATCCCTTACAAGGCCTTTGACCACTGTCACGCTTACTTTCAAACATCCTGAAAGGCTGTAGAAATACTCTCCCTGCTCATGTGTGTTGGGGAGACAGTGTTTAAAATACAACTAATATTAAAACTTGAAAAAAATCTCCCCAAATTGTGTTGATACAATTATCTGTTGTGCAGCGACCTGAGGCTGCATGGTGCTGGGCTGGGGCAGGGGACCTGAGGCTGTGCCCCCCCCACCTGATGGAGCTTGACAGGGGACTCAGGCCACCACCCCCGCCCCCCGCCCCGATGCCAGGCTGGGGGCCCTCAGGCTGCACCCCTCACCCCAGTGCCAGGCCAGGGGACCTGAGGCTGCCCCCTGCCATGTGGGACTTGACAGGGGACCCACGGGGCTAGTTGGGAGAACCTCAGTTGCGTTGCCCCCCCACACCCCTGCTCTGGCGCTGGGCTGGGGGACCTGAGGCCATGATCCACACACACACACACACACACACACACACACACACACACACACCCCGCTCCCCTCTGCCCAGTGGGGCTTGACAGGGAACCTCAAGGCGCATCCCCCCCAGCCCGAGCCAGGGCATCTCAGGCCGCACCTGCCTGCCTGTGGGGCTTAGTGGGGGGTGGGCCTGGCCAAGCCTGGGTCTCGTGTGATTTTGAGGCACATGTGGGTGGGTGGGGACCCAGACTCTGACAGGAGAAAGATTTTAATATACATTTTACTAATTTTCTTTCATCTCTGACACTTCTATTATAGAGAAAGGGCAAATAGCAATATTAAAATATTTCCTCCAATTAATTCCCTCTTAATGTGCACAAATTTCATGCACCGGGTCACTAGTTTTCTATAAGACCTTTGTAGCTTCCTCAGGTAGACTTAATTTGTTGCTTTTAATTATACTTCCATTGTCCACTGTGCTTATTTCTACTAAGGCTCTGGTTGCATTTTATTGTCGTCGTTTGCATATCTGCCTCTTCACAAGACTATTTCCTGAGACCATGGGTCACTATACTGCTGTCCTTTTCAAAGTTTATCCTCAGCCACACCCAAGTATCTGTCCAGTAGTACCCAAATAAATAATCCGTGGGATGAATAAACTGAATCTATTTTAAATATTTATAAGTTGTATATTTTTCTATAATTTCTCTCCATACTAGAATGTGGAGATAATGGCTTTTGGGGATGAATCAAATCTAAATACCAGACATGAACCTTGGGTTAGACTTGAGATATGCTTGGGCATACTAAATATTCATTTGATTTGCTAATGAAAGTAGTTTTATTGGATTTTCCATTTTGTGCATAGTTTTAGAATTGTCAGATTAAGAAGCTGTTTCTGATTGGAAATGTTGATTTATTTTTGCTCACACTTTTGTATATTTGTGTTCTAAGAATATTAAAGGATCTAAGAGCTTCGGCTTCTTTGTAGCTAAAATGTTATCATTGTAACTGATGACTAATTTATAAACAATCTTAATAATATAATTGTTTCCTTTTCCCATTAGATGTTGATCATCTTTCTGGAAAAGAATCTCCATGGCCTGAACATTTTCTGGAAATAATTTTGAGCAAAATATCTGTTTAATAAAAAGATAACCACATCAAGATGGTTGCAAAACTGAAGCAGAACTTACTATTGGCATGTCTGGTGATTAGTTCTGTGACTGTGTTTTACTTGGGCCAACACGCCATGGAATGCCATCACCGAATAGAGGAACGTAGTCAGCCTCTCAAATTGGAAAGCACAAAGACGACTGTGCGAATTGGCCTGGACATCAAAGCCAACAAATCCTTTGCCTATCATAAAGATATGCCTTTAATTTTTATTGGAGGTGTGCCTCGGAGCGGAACCACACTCATGAGGGCGATGTTAGATGCACATCCTGATATTCGCTGTGGAGAGGAAACCAGGGTCATTCCTCGAATCCTGGCCCTGAAGCAGATGTGGTCACGGTCGAGTAAAGAGAAAATACGCTTGGATGAGGCTGGTGTCACCGATGAAGTGCTGGATTCTGCCATGCAAGCTTTCTTACTAGAAATCATTGTTAAGCACGGGGAGCCAGCTCCTTATTTATGTAATAAAGATCCCTTTGCCCTGAAGTCCTTAACTTACCTTGCTAGATTATTTCCCAATGCCAAATTTCTCCTGATGGTCCGAGATGGCCGGGCGTCAGTACATTCAATGATTTCTCGAAAAGTTACTATAGCCGGGTTTGACCTGAACAGCTACAGGGACTGTTTGACCAAGTGGAATCGTGCCATAGAAACCATGTATAACCAGTGTATGGAGGTTGGCTATAAAAAATGCATGTTAGTTCACTATGAACAACTTGTCTTACATCCTGAACGGTGGATGCGAACACTCTTAAAGTTCCTCCATATTCCATGGAACCACTCAGTATTACACCATGAAGAGATGATTGGGAAAGCTGGTGGAGTATCTCTGTCAAAGTGAGTAGATGTTTTGTTTTTACTTTGATCCTATATTCAGCTAATAAAGATGTATTTGTATATGTATATATACTAGAGGCTCGGTGCATGAAATTCATGCATGGGTAGGGTCCCTAGGCCTGGCTGGTAATCAGGGTCAGTTAGGTTCCCCACCTTCTGGCCTCCCCGCCTCCTCCTTCCCTTGCTCCCTCAGCGCCCTGCCGCTGCTGGTCCCCTCCATGTTCCACACCACACCCTGGTGGTCAGTGCATGTCACAACTCCCAAACTTCCGATCTTCCGGTCAAACTCCTGAGGGGGCAATTTACATATTAGCCTTTTATTATATGGGATGTATATGTATCAATAAGTTTTTAAAAATAGCTTGTTCATTATAGATCCTTTCATTTACTTCATTCATTCATTTATTCATGAACTAGAGGCCCAGTGCATGAATTCATGCACCAGTGGGGTCTCTTGGGCTGACCTGTGGGATCGGGCCTAAATCGGCTCTCCAACATCCCCCAAGGGGTCCCGGATTGTGAGAGGGTGCAGGTCAGGCCAAGGGACCCCACTGGTGCAAGATTGGGGCCACAGAGAGACGTGGGAAGTTAGTCAGGGAAGGACCACAGGAGGACCCCAGGCTGTGTCTGGTCTGTCTCTATCTTGGCCCCGACACCATGGCTTTGTCCAGAAGAATGTCTAGAAGGTCTCCTGGAAGGTCACACAGTCTAATTAGCATATTACCCTTTTATTAATATAGATAGATAGTAGTTGTTCATTCTTCCAAATTAATAGAGAGTAGAGAAAGAAAGAAAAAATCAAGACATTTTAAAGTGTGTTTTTGCCTTTATTTTTCAAGAAATATTTGTGTAGCTAGTTTGGCTCAGTGGATAGAATGTCGGCCTGTTGTCTGAAAGATCCTGAGTTCAATTTCGGTCAAGGTCACATGTCCTGGTTACAGGCTTGGAACCCAGAAATGGGCCTGCAGGAGGCAGCCAATTGATGATTTCCTCTCATCATTGATGTTTCTATCTCTTACTCTCTCTTTCTTCCTCTCTGAAATCAATGAAAATGTTTTGCTTTTTAAAATAAATGTTTGTGTAGAAGGCAGGGGGAGTACAATTTAAGGAAAATACTTTATGCAAATAGATGTATTGCAGTAGAATTCTCCTAGTGATTGAATATGGAAGAGGATCTTGCTGATTAGTGAATGGTATCTACTGCTGAGACCTGCTTCTTAAATATTTTGAGTAAGAAATAGAAATAAGTGATAGATCCATTTACCACCATGTTCACCTTTCAGTAAGCTATTTTCATTGCTCTCTTTTTATGAATTGTGGAATTTTTGTGGAATTTCAGCCATTTCCATCTGGGAATACTTAAGAAGTTACTAGAATGTACAATTGTTTCTATTAGGCTCATTAAGGTACTATAAAATTACCTGGAACAAATAAAAATCAGTAACAATAACAAAAAAGCCCACCAATGTATACTCAAGGATGGGAGAAAGGATTAGCCAACGAATTTACTAGGTCAAAAACAAAACCAGAAAAACAGAACAACGTAATGATTGCTTAAACAGAACAAGTACATGAATCACAACCATAATTCAGAGAGAAGTGTGTCCATTCTTAGAACAGCCAGGCATATGTAACTCTTAAGCACAAATAGGTTGGAATGACAAATATAATAGCAGGGTAAGTACAAGAGAATAAGAATGTGATAACTGACAACTCTAAAGCTTCTAATAAGAAAAAACAACTGGAAATCAAATCCATAGCAAGGGGAGATTTAATAAGTGAAAACAATATCAAAAAGTTTTAAAAAATGGAGATATGCCAAAGCCGGTTTGGCTCAGTGGTAGAGCGTTGGTCTGCGGACTGAAAGGTCCCAGGTTTGATTCCCGGCAAGGGCATGTACATTGGTTGCGGGCACATCCCCGGTGGGGGGTGTGCAAGAGGCAGCTGATCGATGTTTCTCTCTCATCGACATTTCTGGTTCTCTATCTCTTTCCCTTCCTCTCTGTAAAAAAATCAATAAAACATATTTTTAAAAAAATAAAAAATGGAGATATTTTTGAGGGGGTACAAAGAATAGAGATTTAAGAATAACAAGAATATTATGAGCAAATTAAGACAAAGACAGGCTGTATTCCTATAAATTATGATCACTTTTACAGCATGTAAAATTAATAGCATGCAAATTAGAATTACCTGAACTCAATAAGCTCAAATTAAAATATTCCAGAGAATTTTATAAATATTATATTTTTTCATTAAATTATCAGAGAACAAGCCTATTTACTTTGGATTACTTATACTTTGTGAAGGCAGAAAATTTATCTTTAAAAAACCAGTTAATCAAATACCATCTAAGAGGAATGCCTTTGGAGTTGTGGAAATCACTGTGCTTCTTTTGCAAATCAAATTGAAGAGATAAGTAGCTGAGAACTCTTAGCTGGAGAAATGCGATTGAATAAACAGGGACTATAATTGACAACAAAACAGGTTGAAAAAGGAAAACAGCAGAAGAAAAATATATATTTATTTCAGAATATGTCAGTGAAGAATAACAAAGTAGAATAAGAACATAAATTAATAAAACACAATTTGTGTTTTATTGAAGAATATGGCAATTGATGACAAAAAGTAGAAGTTGGGTATTAGATTATTTATTATTTTAGATTAGGTGTCTGCAAAAAATAGAGATCCAAAATAATAATGGTTTTAAACAAAAATAGTGGCTAATTATATAAAAGAAGACATACCAAGGCTGCTTCAGCTTTTGGCTCCATCATCTAAATGATCCAAGTTGGAGCTCTAGTCATATCATCTATGTCTTAAACAGCAGGGTTGGAGTAGAGTGGGCAAGTAAGAAGGGGCATTTAGTACTTTTTTAGGATATTTCCTAGTAGCTTGCAGGTAGCTCTTCTTGCATTCCATTGGCCATAACTTACCTAAGTTTTATGACCATATATAAAAGGGGGTGGGGAAATGTAGTATTTATTCCAAATGACCATGCGCCCAACTGAGGGTTGGTGTTCTTTTAGCTAAGAGGAATAGTTTGGATATTAGGGAAAGCAGATAGCAGTCTCTGCTACTCTACTGAGTACCTACTATGTGCTAGGAACAACGTTAAGGTGCCTGGTTGAAAGTCACATGTGATATAATGGAAAAAGCAGATTCATATAGAGTCATACACCACATAATGACATTTTGGTCATTGTCATCGATGGACCACATTTATGACAGTGGTTCCATAAAATTTTAATGGAGCTGAAAAGTTCCTATTGCCTCCTGTTGTCATTACTATAATAATGTTACAGTGTGCTTGTGTTTTAAGTTAAGTATTATTACAAAGGAGTCAAAAGTTAAAAAAAAACCAAAAAACTAAAAAGTTTATAAAGTAAAAATGTTACAGTTAAGGTTAATTTCTTACAGAAGGAAGAAAAAATTAAAAAAAAAAATTTAGGATAGCCTAAGGATACAGTGTTTATAAAGTGTACAGTAATGTCCTAGGCCTTCACATTCACTCATCACCCATTCACTGATCACCCAGAGCAGTGGTTGGCAAACTGCAGTTTGCGAGCCACATGCGGCCTTTTGGCCCCTTGAGTGTGGCTCTTCCACAAAATACCACGGCCTGGGCAAGTCTATTTTGAAGAAGTGGTGTTAGAAGAAGTTTAAGTTTAAAAAATTGGCTCTCAAAAGAAATTTCAATTGTTGTACTGTTGATATTTGGCTCTGTTGAATAATGAGTTTGCCAACCACTGACCCAGAGTAACTTCCAGTACTGCAAAGCTCCATTCATAGTAAATGCCCTATATAGTTGTACCATTTAAAAAAATCTTTTATTTCATATTTTTACTACGTATTCCTTTTCTATGTTTAGACATGTTTAGATACACAGATACTCACCATTGTGTCACAGATACAGTATTCAGCATAGTAACATGCTGTATAGGTTTGTAGCCTAGGAGCAATATGCTATCCCATAATCCTAGGTATGTAGTAGTCTAGAATAGATTATCTAGGTTTATGGAAGTACACTCTATAATAGTTGTACAATAACAAAATTTCCTAACAACTTATCTCTGTCATTAAGTGACATTTGGTTGTACAATACAACGCTGAGTACTATGGTAATCCAAGAAGATGTATCTAACTCAGTCTGGTTTATTCAGGAAGGCTTTCCTGAAAGATATGGTATCAAACTGAGAAACAAAGTAGTATTTATCAACCTTGGCACTGTTGACATTTGGGGCAATAATTCTTTGTTGTGAGGCCCTCTTGTACATTATGGGATGTTTAGCACATCAACTGGCCTAACTCAAGAGATGCTAGTACCCTGTTTCCCCGAAAATAAGACAGTGTCTTATATTAATTTTTGCTCCAAGATGCGCTAGGTCTTATTTTTAGGGGATGTCTTATTTTTCCATGAAGAAGAATACAGTACACATTTATTGTTAAATGAAAATAAAGGAAATTTATTACCTGTATACGATACGGTAGTATGGTAGTTGTCAATAAAAACCAAACAAACTGAATCCTACAGCATCAAGAATTTACTCATTTATTCAATGACAATCATGTCATCATCTTCTGGAACATCATCATAACAATCCAATTCCTGAATTTCCTCGTGAATTTCTTGTGACTCCATTTCTTTCAGAATCAGTGGACCAAATCTCTCATGTTTAGCAATAGCACTGTCTTTAAATGAGTACTTCTTGTCAAAGTAGCCTGCTCACAGTGCATTTGCAATGCAACTGTCAGTGATTTTCTCCCATGAATTCTTCACCTAAGTAACAACTTCTTGCAATTTAGGTTTCACAAAGTTTCCATGCTGATTTCTCTCCATTCTATTTCAATGTAGTCATTAATTTCCATGTGCAAATTGTCTTTGAATGGCTTGTTTATTGCAATATCAAGAGTCTGGAGATAGGCCTTATTTTCCGGGGGATGCCTTATATTTCACTCAGAAGGAAACCTGTAAGTAGGTCTTATTTTCAGAGGAAACA